GGAGCACAGAGCAGGCGGATACCAGAAGGTGGCTCGGAAATAAAAGGTGGAGGCTGGGGCGGGCTGGATGGACCCGAGGGCAGACTGGAGGGGTCAATTGCCCCGACTACCCCGATTGCCCAGAATGCCCCCCCCCACCCAAAGATTGCCAGCGTGACCAAGGAAAAGGGCAGCAAGTGCTGGCATGCAGACAGACGAGCAAGCCAGGGCATGCCTACGAGGCGTATCCAGCAGACATCAAACATCGGACGAAGCCCGTGTTACATCCGCAGAGGAACCAAGTGTGAGGGGAGAAAAAGGGGGTTCCATTCATTCCAGCCCTGACCGCCAAGAGAAATCGAGAATGATACCTCGAGACGATACTACTCGCCTCATCCCAAAGGAGTCAAGTCAATCGACCTCGACGTGTCGGCAGGAGGATGGATGGATGGATGGATGGATGGATGGATGGATGGATTGGGGACGAAGAAGATGCGCGAAGGGAATGCAATGCAATGCAATCCAATCCAATGCAATGCAATCCAGTCCAGTCCGAGAAGCCACCAACACTTGAAGAAGGAAGGGCAGAGCAGGGCAGGGCAGGGCAGGGCAGGGCAGAGCAGAACAGAGCAGAGCAGAGTAGAGCAGAGCACACCACACCACACCACACCGGCACGTACCTGCAGCAGGAGGTTCAAAAAAGATTGAAGCCGATATAGTTCTCGCTTCTGTACTTGTGGTTTGTTTGGTTTGTCGTAATTCGGCTCGATTCGGTATCGCGAGGTGGCAGGGATTCCGGTCGACAAACGTGTTTCTGCGAATCTCTTTGGGACAAGTGGTTTTTGGAAATGAGCAAAATGTGGCCGTGGTCTTAACTTAAAGAAGACCAGACGCGCTAGATGAGGTAAGCGCGGTGGGCCTGATCCGGGCGGTGAGGAGACGAGAGAGAGCACGTGCTCTGATATGCATCACCGGGGGGAGGGGAAAGGGCGGAGGAGGAGACGGCCGTTTTAGGAAGGAGTTTTGGGGACTGAATGTGTAGGTACTACGTAGGTAGGTACCTTAGGTATTCAAACGCGAGCGAAGGTGAATTCGCTTCCAGAAGGCCGAAGGCAAAGTGAGTTTATTGAGAGCCAAATGTGATATGTCCTCTTGTTTTGAAATCGAGTCTGGTACGTGAAGTGATTTGAGCCTGACCTATCGCGAGATCGTCATGAGGTCAGTCAGTACAGATAGGTACGTACAGTAGTACCGGTAGTAGTAGGTAGTAGTAGTAAATTCGACGGGTCTGCCTGGCTAAAGCTAACCTAACCCAGCCTTACTTACCACCCGGCCCTCCCCCACTCTCTTTGTTCGACCACATCCAGTCAGTCCTTGATCATCCTTCGCCACACACATCGCACCATCGAGAACGCCTCACCAATCCAGTCCAATCCAATCCGATCAATCCAATCCAATCCAATCCAATCCAATCAATCCAATCAATCCAATCCAATCCAACCCAACCCAACCCACAAGCGACCCTTTTCGCTTCCGTCAAAGCCCAGCCCAGCCCAGCCCAGCCTAGCCTAGCCCGGCCAAGTACCACTACTCCGTACGTAATCCAGACCATCGATCCTTCGCCTTAACAGCCTCACACACCAGAGCTTATCTCACACCTTAATTCTTATTCTCCCCCTCGTCTCTTCTTCTTCTTCCCCGTCATTCCGTAATCGGTGATTCAATCACCCCCGCCCCGGATTCCGGCCGCATAAGGACAAGTACGTACGTACCGGTAGTACTACTACTACTGTAAGTACTGTACTACGCACGTACCTAGCTAGTACATACCTAGAGCAATTTCGAAAAGTCCGTCGAGGGGCTGGCTCCCCTACTAGGAGGAAGTATTTATCCGGTCTTTGTGCCAAGACTCTAGCCGAGTTTATCAGACCCCGAGGCCCGATTCACTCACTCACTCACTCGCCTAGACCGACGGTTCTCAGGCTGGCTGTATGTATGGATGTATGTACGGTATGTATGGATGTATGCGTGGGGGTGTGTCCCATATGTCTCGTCAAAGTAATCCTACTACTACCTATCTACCGGCCTCTTGAGTAAGCATGTTCGAGAAAAGGGGTTGGCTTCAATTCGAGGTAGCAGGGAAGGGATCCACGCTGTCCAATAACAGCCCTATCCAGCTCGGGTACGTGGAGAGAGTGGCTCACAAGACTCAGCAGTAGCAAGAGAAGGAGGCAGGTAGTTTGAGCTTTGTTCAATTATTGTTCTGCGTACAACCATGGATGCCATATCTACATAGATCTCACACTTGCCCGTCACCATCAGGCGCACCACCAGACCACCCTGCCACCCACTCCCTCAAAATATTCATCTCGATCTATCCTCAATCCGCAAACCGCAGCAGCCAGCCGCCCCCCGCCCCCCACCCCCCGGCTCCCAGAAAGCCCCATGAAGCGGCTGAGGAGAAATGCAAAGAGCTTCCGAACCCCGTCTTACCGGCCCTGCTAACACCACCGAACGCCTATGCAGCAGAAAACCAAGATCGCGAAAGGAGAAGGAAAAAGAGAAAGACGAAAAAACCCCAGGTCGTAGATCGCTCATGTAGTAGATCCCAAGTTCGTGGGTCGGGAAAATCTCCTTTTTATCAAGAGAAGAGAGGTAGAAAACGGGGTGTTGTTGTTGTTGTTGTTGTTGTTGTTGTATGTACAAGCCCAGCCCCAGCCGGGGCGAACTCAAGCGTTTTGATGCCAGAGGCAAAGGAGAGATTCTTGAGATGTCTGGGGAGTTCATTAAAAAGGATTCAAGCTCTTCTGACTGTTTTCTCGATGGAATTCATGAGAGTTGCTGGACTCGACGCGATTCAGGAGAGCCGCCGACGTGAAGTCGTTGCTTCGCTCGTAACTTGGCCGTACCCGATCCATCGACGCTCGTATCCTATCGTAGGAAGGTCTGCCCCGGTCCACTGATGGGCGGATAGTAGACTGCTCTACCGATTGTCGATGTCGCGTGAAGTCTGTGCCGTCACTACCATTTTGGCTTCGAGGATTGTGCGTGGCAACTGATGGGGGGTAAATTGGCCGTTGGTCTTCGTCAATGCTCGGACTCTGGGTATGCTTACTCGGCTTCACGATTTCGTACGAGGTGGAAGAGGATCCATTCGAGATTTCGTCTACGGAAGGCTTTAGGGCGGAGGGTACCTCAAGATGATCGAATTTTCCTTGGCGGACTTGTTCGCGGACGATGTCCACGTCGTACGGGAAGTATATCTTCTGAATGGCCTTGATGGAGAATCTGGGTGCCAGACAGAGGACTGTCGAAAGACATGTGACTGCCCAAAAGGTCGGCTGTGAGAAAGTCTCTGCGGCGGCCTTGTAGAAGAAGCCCGATGACGAAAAGGCGGAATAAACACCTGTCCAGAACCAAACCAGCAAATTACTGACAGAGACCAGGAGTAACATGAGCCAATCCCAACGATAAGAGTTGAGCAGGATGTAGGTGTTGATGACCATGATGGCAGCCGGGGCGATGTAGACACCGAAACGTACTCGGTCGTCAATGTTCCGACCATTGGTGGTGACAAAATTTCCGGGTGCGAAGGCCAAGTAAGCCATGTAGTACAAGACCACAGATTGGTATATCCCATCGATCATGTAGAACCTGTGTTGTGGTTAGCGTGGTAGATTCGCAGTAATGAGGAAAGATCATACCAGAACTTCGTCTGTGTCCATTCAAGTCGCTCGATACCACGGCGATACAGCTGTGGCACGGCGAGACAGACCTTGTCACTAACATCCTGATCAAGGACACCCATAAAGACGACTGGCAGTGATGTAAAGGCCAAATTGAAGAGCAGAATGTATGTGTAGTCGTACAGGTAGGTTTGGTCGAAGCTGCAGTAGATCTGGTACCAGAAGATGGTGAACGTCCAGACAATGTTCTTATAGAAGAAATTGGCAATCGTTTCTGCGAGTCTCCGGTATGACCATCGTCCGTGTACGAGCACAAGTCTTTGCAAGAAGCGAAATTGGCCAATGGCATAATCGGCAGACATGACAGCTTGTCGCCCTTCCTCTCCCGCAATACCAACCCCAACATCGGCCTCTTGAATCATGGCCACATCATTTGCCCCGTCACCAATGGACAGAGTCATGACATCCAAGCCATTCTTTACCATCTGCACCACAGCTGCTTTCTGCGCGGGGCTGACACGACAGCAGAGAACGGACTTGCATTGCTTGCAAAGAAGTAGGAACTTCTGACGGATTTTAGGCTCTAGAACCAATTTGAGAGCATCACCATCAATGATAATGGCATGGGTTGGTGCCGGTGGTTCGTGACTCTTTCGGGCAGCTTTCAGCTCAGAGTCGCTACCTGTCATATTGAAGGTGGCCAAGTGCTTGTCAAGCGCAGCTTCGGCGCTTCCAAGAGTATCGTCGTCAATTTTCAATAAAATGAGTTCCATGTCATTATTTAATAAGTTGCAGGAGAAGCCGATGTTGATGGCCGTCTCGACCTTGTCTCCGGTCAAGACCCAAAGTTTGATACCTGCCTCAGCAAGGATAGCAATTGTATCAGGAACGCCTTCTTGAAGACGATCTTCGATAGCAGTGCCACCCAAAAGTGTCAGTTCGCGCTCGATCCGATCAGAAACCTCTTCCAGCTTGTCTTCTCGGTCCGTAATCGCTGCGGAGGCCATTTCGTGCTCTTTGTTCCATGTTTGATATTCCTCTTCCCCGAGTTCTCTCTGAGCGATGCAGAGTGTTCGGAGACCTTCCCGTGCAAACATTTCGAGGTGCTCCGCGGTCGTTCTACGAAGCTCTGATTGCTCTCCTGGCTTGAGGCGTGAGTATATCATACTATCAGCGCCCTTGCAATACAGAATGATTCTGTTGTCGGGCATTCTGATAATAGCGCTCATGCGCTTACGGGTCGAATTGAACTCCAGAGTGTTGAGAACTTTGAAGGATTTGTCCTCTCCCTGAATGTTCAAGCGGATCCCGTCAGTCGAGTTGCCCAAAACAGTGTAGCCAACATCTCTAGCAGTAGCAACTAGGGCGGCCTCATCAGGAGATTGGGCCTTGAACTCGATTTTTGGTGGATCCCCAGGGCTCATCTCGGCAATAACTGTATGGCATAGAGCCAGAGCTAGCATGAACTGCTCGTTGGCGTTCTGCTGCTCAGGACCTGAGTGACCGGCCATATCGGTGATGAAATCGGGAGCCACAAAGGTCAAGTCACTGTCGTGAAGATATGGATTGTTGTGGAGCTTCCTAATATCCGCAATCATCTTCACTCGGGCCTGCGCAATTTCCTCTCGTGCTCTTGCTCCCTCCTTCTCAACATCGATACCTTGTCGCTTCTGCATACCGGCCTGAGCTTCGGTGTAGGCTTCGCCGTACGGAACTCCGTTGATCGTAGCCTTCTTGAACTCCATGACATTCTGAGTAAGTGTCCCAGTCTTGTCGGAGAAGATGTATTCAATTTGACCAAGATCATCCGAAATGTTCCAAGACTTGGGGGTACACGGGTAGTCGAGCTTCTCATAGTACATTTCGGAGTCGCTGTAGATAAAGAAAGCCTGGCATGTCTTGATAACTTCAAGAGAGATGTACAAGGAAATGGGCACCAAATTCTGGAACAAAATGATAGCTGCCCAGAAAGTGATGAAACCATCCAGTGCCGGTTTTCCATCAGCGATCGAGCCGAATTCGAAGTAAACGATAGAGGTGCCCGACTTGCCCCAGTAGACGCCCATGTAGATCCCGGAGGCGAGGCACATGAAAACCAGGATGATGAAATTGTAGATGACATTCCAGTTCAGCTCTCGGGAAATTCGAGAACGTTTGCTAGGTGTGATTCCAGAGTTGATCATGATCTTGGTATCGAATCCAGTAAAGATCACAACACCTAGAACCCATTCAGTGTTCCGCAGGTTACACCCTCTCAGAAGCATGTTGTTGATAGAAACTGGCTCTGCCATTTCCTCCCCTGGAGAATCCGGATCCTTGGAGTCTCTTTGTGTCCAGCGTGTAACAGCACTGTATTGGTAGAGATTTGCTTGAGGCGGTTCGCTGTCAATGAAAAACTCCGTCTTTTCACAATCACGGGCATGCTTAATTTTCCTACCACTTCGAAGCGCGTGTCGTACTTTCAGATTCGTTTCTCCATCCAGATTCTTGGTTTCGACATAACAAGCCCCATCAGGATCGGAAGTCGAAAGAATCACAATATCTGCAGGGATTTGATCATCATTGTAAAGTCGGACAAAATCCCCTACTTTGACATTCTTCCAGTAGTCAAGGTGGAATCGGGCCTTGCCAGAAGCTTGACGAGCTGGATTTATCAGATTTCCGAAGTTCTTCTTGATAGGAGAGTGGTTTGCGTCCTGGAAAGAGAATGCTGAGCCTGGGCGCTCCAAAGGATCAGGAACTGTCAGATTGTTCTCTCTAGGTAGAGGGGATGGCACAGGGGTCATTTGTATGTCTTCTCTAGCTGAGGCATAGGACTCTCTGTGAGAGGTTGTGGACATCGCAGAATGTCGCCTTGTATCAATCGATGCTCGCGACTCATCCATAGCCCGTGAGGCATATTCATTGCCAGGAGTCGGCTTGCCCTTCTTCAATTTGCGCCACAGAGAGAGCATCGCTCGAGATGTTGCTTTCTTGATTCGCCTCCAGAGGGATATGTCACCGTCGTTGACGTTTACATTGTTCCAGCCAATCAGTCGATGTACCGGAGAATTGTTCAGTTCGTTGTCTAGAATCGTCCGCCGGTAATCTTCCACTGAGTCTTTCACAGCCGTGATAGCCACGATAACAATTAAGGGTACGGCGTTCAGTATCGGGTTCGACGCTCCGAAAATACTAAAGAACTGTATATTTGTCAGCACTGATCTTCTAGAACTTGATTGGCGTGCCTACAGCTAGAATAATCAAGAACAGGAAGTAAACGTTGGCGATATTTTGAAACTGGAAGTACAGATTCTTTGGGATGAAACTGATTGCCGTGTACTTCGCCGTCCTGATCTTGTTCCTGCGAAATTGCTGGGCAGGATGCCCGTCTTCATCTACTGCTTCCGGAGGTAGTGGGAGGTTGAAGTATACTTTTCTCGGCCCTTGGCCCTCCTGGTCGTCGACGACCTCCTCTTCCGGACCCTCATCAGTCGATTCTGGCCGACCCTGAACACCCCCTAGAGAATCTCCTCCAGTGGAGAACCTCTTCTTCTCACTGCTCATTGAACCTTTATGTCCTAAGCGCCCCATGATCGAACTGCGTTTGTTCTTCCCTTTGTTTCCCGCGTGTCTCTGAGTCGCCCAGCGCAATCGTTTCGTGGACACAGGCTCTATGGGCGCGCCTTCATCATCATCTTCAGGAGCCGGCGGCTCAGGCTCTTTGTACGAGATAGCCATGGCGGTAGGTTAGCAGCTGGAAATTTGCAGAGGCCCCCTCGGGGCAAGCTGGATCCAAATATCGCTCTGAAAGCAGCCCTCAGTGCGTTGATCCGCCCAGCAAATTTAGAGTATGTTCGAGCATGTATTCGCAGAGTCTGGTCGATGAATGAGTATTGACGATCGGAGAGCAGATATCGGTTCGTGTTCACAGAGCACACAAAGGTTTGTACAAGCCAGAGTCGAGTCTAGTTTCGAGGAGACGGTCGTTCATCAGGGGACACCGGATGGGACGGATCGCGTAGGTAACCAAAGCGTTTCTCTCTCGAAAGGGGTGGGAGCGCGGAATCCCTAAAATGCCTTAATTCGTAGAGGAATGGCGGCGGAAAACAAGTGCAATGAGAATTGCGACGTTTATCCCGCGTCGAGGAAGAGGAGGAGGATGAGGAGGCTTTGATCTCAATAGAAGGGGATCATGGTAGTAAAGTGAAGTGTTCTATGAGTAGGTTGAGTATAGAAAGCAAAACTAAGGTAGGGGAGGGTCGGTGCTTTAGTCAGCGCAGGTCCGCGCCACTCTGGGCTTTACGACAAACCCCGTATCAGAGGAAGTCAGTCAACCGGATCATTTTCTGCAATACGTACGGAGTTCCAGTTAATGAAATATGGGGACTCGGCACTCGGGACTAGGGATTCCGCAACTACTAGTAAAAGACAGGAAACCGATAATCTACAGTAAAGGTGAAGAAAAATTCTGCGAAAGTTTGGTGAAAAGGCCCGATGCTACTCCGTTCCTTCGTCTGCAGAGGCACTACGGAAAGGATGTACAGAGTAGATAATGTGCAGAGTAAATAAAGCTGACATTCTGTTCCGAGGTAATACATAGGTATTCCGCTCTGAAGTGGGCAAAAACGTACCAAAGTATGGATCGCTGACGCTGACGCTGACGCTGACACGCCGCCGGAATCACTGATACCAGTCACTGTGAGTGAGATAGAGTTGACATTAGCGTTGGCGTCGGCCTTGATGTCGCCGTGTTGATGTCGCTGTCGCTGTCGTCGGTGAGATTATTTGTTACCACTGGTACCATAGGTGCCGATTTCTGACTGCGCGTTCTATTGCAGCGCGTCAAAGGCCAGCTATCACGTCCGTAGTAACAGCAATAATCCTAGCGGTATTTTTATTGCTGATAATAATAGAGTTGTCCGCATCAGTTTGATGTCCCTATCAGTTTGATGTCCACATCAGGTTGATACACAGCCTAGCAGATGTTTTTTTTAAAAAAATTTGGCTTGGCGGAGAGATGATGCTGCACTTCCCGTATGTTGGGACGACGCAACTTTCTAAGAGGCAGGAGAGTAAAAGAATTCCGGCGACAAATTTCCTCTTCGTATATCAAGTATCTCAGCCACATCCCGTGTAATACGGTACTATACGATACAAACAAGAATTTGCGCAACAAACTCGCAGAAAGGCCACCTTGGCTTAAAGTCCCAAGGACCCTATATGGGCGTACTCCTTATTGATTCGATCTTTACTTTGATCAGATTAAAGGGGGAAAGGGGGAGGATGCTGCGGCATATTCGGGATACTTAAGTAACACGAGCCGGGATAGTGGGATACAGGACGAGCCCTTGGGATAAGTGATAAGCCTCGTTCGTCCGAGAGAGAATCGAGTACGGTATTCCCTGAGAGCAGAGCGCAGAAGTAAACACACCGGGATCCGGATCCGGCATGTCCGATTAGATACTACACTACACTACAACTAGATTCATTGGGGCGGCTGGAAACATTTCAAGTACGAGGTCCGCTGAAGCGATAGAAGAAATCAAAGTACAAGTGTCAGATTTGAATTGTGCAGAAGACAGCACGGACAGCCTATCTCCCAAACGTCCAACCGCCTGACGAACAAGAGATCTGGCCGCCGGGCATGGAACAGATCCAACCTCGTCCTTGAATGAAACATGCCGGCACTGAAGCATGGCAATGAGCTCGCAATAGAATTAATCCACGTGATCAAAAGGTCACGCTTGCACGCGTTCGTGTCTAGAGCTTGGGAAATTGCATCTTGCCCAGCGACGGTGACTGACTGACTGTATACGTCCGAACTGATCGCACGCTATCCACGCATAGGTAGCCATATCCATAGCCATAGCCATAGCGATAGCCATGTCACAAAACAAGTCCATCAGAGACTTCTTCAGATCACAACCGCCTGCGCCTGCGCCAAAAGCGAAGACAGAGGCACAAGCACAGGCACCTCCAACGCCCGCGCCTGCTCCGAGATTCCCAAAAGCCGCACTTCCAGCCAAACTCCCATCTATCAGGCCATCCAAAGTTACACTGCCCAGTGTTCCGGTCCAAATACTCTCGTCGGCGCCAAAATCATCGGATCAGCGAGGTTATACTTCGAGCCTGTCTTCGCCGCCAAGCAGCAGTGATGAGTTCGCGTCGATGTTTCAGAAAGATGTAACATCACTGCCGTCTCTGGCAGCTAACAGCTTTTCCGATCGTGTCATCAACGACTCGGATGATCAAGATTCAGATAGTTCTCTCGAGGATCTTTCTACACTCCTCGCGGCCAGGCGCTCAAGCTCTGCGAGCCGACCCAAGACGTCAGGTGACAGGGCAAAGACACCCCCACGATATCAAACGCGGACCAACAAATTTCCTGTATCGCCATTAACAGTGTTGCCAAAGTACAAGTTCGACCTCAAGGCTCTCATCGCCCACAAGGAAAGCGACGATGCCGCTGAAGCCAGCTCCAAGAGGTTCAAGGCTATGCTGGAGATGAAGAATGACGAAGATGTTGCCATGGATGGGGACGCTAGGGCGAACCACAATGCATTGCTGGAATCATTTGTTGCGGATGGAGAAGAAGGATACGCTGATAAGGTCAATCGAGCCTTGAGAAGGACAGAAGCGACCGTCGCGGATCCACGATGGTACTTCTTCGAAACCCAGGCCGAACTTGGCAAACCCAAGCGTAAACCTTTCCCGGTGGCTTCAATACCTGAAAGCTGGAAGAGTGTACTCATGGATCCTGAGGCAAGACATCAAACCTTTCTATCTGGCTTTGCTGAGGATATGGTGAGTTTGGGACAGCAGTTACCAGACGAGTTGTTCCTCTGGATGCTGGACGAGGTGACCATCGAGTCCAATGCTCCGCTTCGGACCTCATATTTGAACCTCTTCAGGCAATGTACTGAACAATCACAAAGGCTACTTACACCTGATGCGATACAAAGGATTTTCCGTCGGTTAGGAGGGACTGCTAGAACGACGAGTTTAAAAGAGGCTATCAGACCCGTCCAACGGCTAGCAGATCCCTATCCCAGCCGCGATTGGGCCAAGCTACTTTCAGTCATCAAATTTCTTGGTCAAGCTGCAGAGATACTAAATCAAAGTTCGAGAAAATATGCTATAAGCATGCTTCTCAGGATGAGCCTTGACAAGATGGTCTTTGAGAACACCGACATCCATGACTCAATGCAGCAGTCCATAGCCCGATTATGTTACCATATACCAGACGATATCTGGAACGCATCAGTACGCTCTCCTTCCCCTATATAAACCATCGACTAACAATCATAAGTGTTCCCAAATATGTAAATCGCTCTTCACCACAACCACAGAGCCCTCCCTCCGCCTCCAAGCAATCGACAGCATCTCCTCCACCACACCGCGGACCCACGACCTCCGCCGCCGTCTCGCAACATCCTTCTTCTTCAACTCGCTCTCCTACGCAAAGACGCACTCCCACACCCTCATGTCACTAGACTCGGTCATCGACCGCCTCGCTGACCCAGTCTTCGACACCAAGCCCTCAACCAAGTACCGCGACCTCGCCGCCCTCCTCAATCTCCTCGACATCGCCGTTGACGACGGCAAATCCCTCTCCGTAGATCTGACTAATAAAAAAGTAGAGGAGAAGTACAATAAAGATGTCGAAGAGCTGAGCGCGACGATTAACAGTATCATGAGCGGGATCAACACGGGAGGGGCATCGAATATCTCGCGCATGGAAGCGAAGAGCTTGGCGGATAATGTTAGTAAGAGGATCGCGGTTACATTGCGGACGAAGAGGAAGCCGAAAGAGAATTGGTTTGATGGGAAGAAGGAAGAGGACTTTGAGAGGGAGAAAAAGGGTATGGCTGGTTTCTTGGCGAAGAATAAAGTAGTGCTGAAGGGGAGTGGAGGAGGTGGGGAGAGGAGGAGTGTTCGTGCTAGGAATGGTTAGTGGGGCTACGTAATAAGTGTTGCTGAGAAACCTTGGACCTGCTTATCAAAATTGGAAGATCAGTAATGCCTGATCCAGTCAATACAAGACTGGGTGCAGAGCAAGTAGTATTTGGTATGAGACGGTTTGATGCCAGAACCCACGTGTTACAGACATCCAAACCAGTCGCCATGAACGATTCATTTTATCATACAATTTCGACAACGCCCTGCCCTCGCCCATCGGGCAGTGTGTCTCTGGTTATCTTCGTTGCAATTCCGATAACAGCTGCTCAGTCCAAAAGCCCACCTGCATGCACAACTCCTCTACTCGTAGAACTTCCTGTTCTCGTTGGGTCCGAACAGCTTCGTGCGGATAGCAGGCAGCGCCGTATCCTCCAGCAGCTTCAGCCGCTCGTCAAATGTGTTCGTAATCTCAATCTTTCCGTTTCCGCCGACGATTGAAACGCCTCCAGATCTGTTTCAACAGATCATTAGCATTTCTTTCCACCAGCATCCCGGAGTTCCTCCCAGATTAAACTCATCCGTAATCAATCAAGGGGACATACACATCCTCCGGCAGCCAATTCGACTCATCCAAGCTTGCCTTGACCTCCTTCTTCATCTTCTCCTTGTACTCCTTCTCCGCCTCCTTGATGGCCTTGACCACCGTGTCCTTATCCACCTTGCGCGCCCGCACCGCCAACGTCTCCTCATTTAACGCATAGAAGCCCTCCAGCAGCAAGCCCTTCAAGATGCCCGCATACTTGCCCTTATCCTTCGTCGCCTCGCCGAGCTTCTTCTGCGTCGCGTGAAAGATCTCGTCCAGCAGCTCCTGCCGCGCCGACAGCACCTTGAGGCGCGTCTTGTTGGCCACGGTCGAGCGGGTGATCTGCTGCGACATGGTGGCCGCCTTGAACTTCTTCTCGTAGGTGCTGTCGATGGCTGCCGTCTCGGTGCGGACCAGCTTCGACTTCTCGATGGCGAACTCCTCGTCGGCCTTGATTTCGATCTCGCGGCCCTTCTCCATGGCCTCTTGCTTGATGAAGGCCGTCATCTTCTTGAGCTCTTGGCCGACCTGTACTACCGCTTGCCTATTAGCCTGCTGCTGCTGCTGCTGCTACTGCTGTGTTCTTGACTGCGTGCGGGCAAATTGATTCGGGATGATGCAGAGGGGAGGCTTGCCTGGTCGTCGGAGAGGGCGTGAGATTGTGACATATTGGGCGAATAGAGGGGGTTCGTGGTTCAGGGCGAGTGACCGAGAGCTCAGAGTCGTGAGGTTGAAGCTCCCAAGATAACATGGAGGGTTGTACCTGCTAATCCGCATTGGTACTAGCGCATGAGGGTGTCAGGTCTCAGCAAGACATCAGCCAGAATCGCTGCCATAACTCTCTCGCAATTTATGGTAGGAAGGTATGTTCGATCTTTTAGTATCACTTTGGCGGATCACACGATGTTGTGTAGTTTTGTAACTGGATTGTTTTATTGACTTTCGCTTGCGTGTGAATCTGCTTTTGGGACATTCTGCGCTGTACTTTGTACGAACATCACAACTCTTCATCCAAGTCATGGTCATCAAAGCCCGCCCGCCCAATCCCCTCGAGTGTCCAACCGCCAGATATTTCACCACCGATCTTCCTGGCCAGCGCCGGTCCATCTGCTCCAGAACTCGTCAGTCTTTCCTCCCTTCGCCCCCTGATTCGTTTCTGGCAGTGTCTCAGCCGCGGAAGATCTTCCCAGCGCAAACACTGTAGCGAGCAGGTCCACGGCCGCGAGGATGCAGATTGTTTTCCAGAAGGTGGTCATTCCGTACGGACAGAGGTCCCTGATCCTGAGACCGTTGGGAAGTGTGGTATATCGGTAAATCAGCAGTATGCTGTACAAAAATACTTGAAAGATTCGTCGTTTGGATGAAGGTACGAAGTCTCTCATAGAGTTGAGAAAACGGCCCATGCTGGACATCTTCCTTGGTTCTGACTTTGGGGCTAGGGGCGTGGTCGCTTGTAGATCTGGTGTCGGTATTTTTTTTCATTGGGTAGAGGGAGTCTTTGGTCTTGGCAATCATCAAGTCTTTGCTATTTCTGTTTCAAACAATGGAGCGAATATCGATTGATTGAAATGTCAGAGATGCTAGGACTGCTTGTCTATCCGCTTCTTCGCGTTGCTAGGCCTCCCGAGACTCCGGCGTCAGACCACTCCCAGTGTAGGTTCTTACCATGTATGTCAGCTAAATACCTTTTGCATTCGAGTGATAAAAGCTAGTCCCATAGCGATACGCAATACTCGGCACCACAATGTAGGTGCTTCGGAGGGGTTTTTATTTTGGCCTTGAGCGTCACAAAGCCCACTTTTCTTTCAGTACTTGTCTTTCAAACAAGAGGAAGACGCCTACTACACAAAGAAAGACATTCGACCCTCTCAATCAACTTATAGGCGTTCTGTTGACACTCTAGGGCGATATGAATCTAGAACGTTCGGCGACGATTCGTTGGGCTCTTCTGTTCGTCTCCCTGAATCTTATAACCACATTACTCGTAAAGGGAAAAGGGCGTAGTTAAAACCTGACCTCTATTCCTTTACTTCCGCGAATTCCTTGCTTTCCTTCACTCCAGATCGAGTATCCTGGATACCCAGCAGCCACCCGGCGAGCGAGTGGGCAATTCAAAACCTCTCCAAACCGGACAACGGAAAGGGCCAGGCTGGCAAAGAATTCGGCCAGTAAATCTGAAGAGCTAGCGAGCAAGGAATCTTTGAGCTGCTGTACTCGTCTGCAGTTGAAATGGTGACTCCAGGTTCCAATCTGCATTTTGAAAAGCAATTCTTTCCCTCTGGCTACAAATGGGCTTGCCGCCTATCAGCTTGAGCAGTAAGCCTGCAAATCCACCTCCTGCTTCTACAACAGCAGGTATCTCGAAACTCACATCCGATGGCTCCACATTCCAGACCACGCGACACGTTTTCGCAAGGCCTAGGGGGGCAAGCGCCAGAAGGCAGGGCAGGCGAAAACCCAAGGCTAGAGTCGTAAGCGAATTTTTTTATAATTTTTTCTTTTTTTCTTTTTTTGGTTTTCAAAAATCTGGACAGCCGCCACCAAAAGTATTGCGATTGCCTTTCTCCAGCTATCTCACCTTCAGACCGACAAAGGCTTCCAATATCCCAGCGATTCTGCATCTGTCTAGCCTGCCTCCCCCCCCCCCCCCCCTGCCCGTCGGTCTGCGAAAGCAAATTGTAAACATGCATGCACGCTTTCAGAATAAGCGAGCTCTGGGCTAGACAGTCATTCATTCCCCAGGCTGATAAGTAGCTACGAATGGAATGCGTCGCGACGCTAGTATCAGACAAGATAAACAAACCTACGGCGTAAAAGCCCGCAAGGTAATAAATACCACTCGTGTCACCCTCTTCGATGGTAAAGCTGGTTCGCTGCTTCGAGGTTAGGAAGTCAAGAAAACTCTCTCCCTGTGCGAATGAGAATGGGGGGGGGGGGGGTTACGGTTTTGCTGCTGTGGGCCCGCTTACGAAGTCGTGACCAAGGCAACCGCGATAGAAAGGATCCTTCGAGGCCGAATATCTAGGTCGTGAGATAGATAATTATCCAAATGGAACAGGGACAAACAGACATTTTCGAGAGTGTTGAACTGTTACGGAGATGGAGGAAGAGAAGATCTCCTGTAAAAAGGGTGGAGGAGGATGTTATATTGTTGACTGACTGAGTGACTGAGTGACTGTGACTGCCTTTAACTGGAATAGAAAGAGAAGAGGCCGTCATCGTCCTCCATGTCATTTGAGGGAAGACGCCATGCCGGCGGCAACCCATGGTGCTGTGTGAGAGAGAAGTGTGTAGACATATAGACCTATCCTAGCAATCTACATATATTGCCCGCCCCTCAACAACCATACGCCTTTTACCACCCCATAGGTAGTGAAAGTAGTGTAATGTTTTACAGCCAGCGCCATCAAATGCACATCTCCCCCTTCCCCAACCCATTCAAAGAGTACAGTTAACGCTCCCATCTCCCCCGGATTCTGTCATTTACTCTTCGCGGCCAAAGCCCCGATCCCCACATTCTCCACTCGCTTCTCCCGCACCTCATTCAGCCGTCTCAGCCGCTGCCTACTAATTCTCTCACTCTCCAAGTCTCTCTGAACCACGTCTTCGTCTCTCCAACTCCTGCCTCTCCGTCCGCCTTCGCCCCACATACTGACTCTTTGCACCTTTCTGAGTTTGGTGAGCCCGTACGCGAATACGATACCGGTGAAGACTACGCTCCAACCGGTGACACCCCAGAAGCCAATGTCTGATTCTTCCATGAAGTTTTTCAAATTCATGCCGTAAAGGGCTGCGATGAAGGCACCCGAGCCGATACCGAGCGTACCGATGGAGAACTTGAGGTCCAGGAGCATGAGGGAGTTGCGGTTGGCGTCTAGGATGGCCTTTATGCTGTGGTAGGTGTCAGTATTCCGTGTTTCGGGCTTGGGAGAATGGAATGGAAGGAGACTTACATTTCCTCCGTATTACGAATATTCGAAACCAAATTCCCAGACTCCTGCACAATCTCGTCGCACAGCTTATAATAAGATTCCAGCAGCATCTCGACTTCCGTGTGATCGTCTTCCCCTCTTAACAAATCATGGCTCTTCTCAGTCAAGTACATAGCCGCAAGATCATCGTCTGCTTCCAGAACCTCGTCAATAGCATCCCTGACCAATTTGGCCTTCTGCTCAAAAGTACCCAGCTTCTTCGAGTAGATGAGCAGTTTCCGCAGCTTATCCCTGTCTATGTCCTCTTCCAATTCTCGCAACACTCTAACGACTGGTTTCCTTACCCCTTCGAATTCCTTCTCCAGGCTTGTAATTGCTGATATGAGCACTGCTTCGAGGGCGCGAAACTCGTAGGGAAGTCCGCCCGCCAGGGGCGAGGCTTGCTTCTGGCGGAGCTTGTCTTCAAGGTCATAAATGAAAGCAGATTGATTGTAAGAGTCTGTGGTGCCGTAGGCATCAAAGACCAGCACGCGATTGGCTTTTATAAGAACCCGGAGATGGAGGAGGTTAATTAAAATGGCGGACGGCCGAACGAGGATATGGGGGAGAAGACTGCTGTCAATCTTTCTAAGATCGCGAGGAAGAAGTCCATACTGCAGAGGAAACATTAGCACTAGAATTGATAGCTTGAAGACAAAGGAGCAATACTTTAGCAATAAGCTCGCTCTTCTTGAACTCCCCACTCGCCAGCACCACATTCCCATGTTCGTCGAACTCTGTACACCTCAGCCTCGGCTGCGCAGCCGCTTTTGCAGATATATGCCGGCCCAGACTAAACATCGACATATCGCTTTCCTCTTCATTCCCTCGCAGGGAAGCTGGTAAATCGTCTGGCCGCAGCGGTCTCCCTCCTCGCAGCGATGTGACACCCCAGAGCTTCTGATGCCAGTTTTTGGACCCCGCGGATGCGGCCCGTTGTGCCACTAACGATCCTCCATATACTGCTCTCCTGTGCCTTGCTATGCAATTCGAGCTCGCGGATTGGATCTTCAGAGCGGTGGAGGTGTATCTCGGCCAGAATACACCTAGATTCAGGATCCCAGCTTCTACAGTTGCGCGTCGTGGTGCCGAGGTGGACAGCCGTCTAGTAGTTGAAGCTGTATTCAAGCGACGAGCCCGCAGCTGCGATGACCGTGGAGCTGCATGGTCGAATATGAAACCCGGTCGTGGGTTCGCGCTGAAGAAGCAGATCCTTTCTGACTGCGACTTGAGAAATTTAAGGAGACTCGATGATGGCACAGGTGGGTGCAGAGACCGCATGACAGCTGTTAACTCGGTCGGTTGGGCGGGAGGAGGAGTGTACCTCTTCTTGCTTCAAAGCGCCGCGTTGGTGGATGTAAGTAGATTTTGAACAACCTTGCGCGTCATGTGACCAGGTCATATTGGGTTGAGATCATGTTGCTCAGAGTTGCTTAGGCATGAAACAACATTCAAAGCACTTTAGGTTCATAACTTAGAAAGATGGCTCGCATCAACGCATCAGATTTACTGTGGGAAATGGGTATTGTTTTAAAACCTTGAACTGTTATGTTGACTGTCTGCAAATTGGCAAGCATTCAAAGCTTGTTAAATCAGTAGGCGATGATAGCTAGGGAAATATCGCTCTTGACTACGTGAAATCTGCAGAAGTTTTCATTGGATGTTTATATTTCGTCATGATTGATCAGAAACTCCGAATGCACCTGTAAGGCATACCATTATTCACACGAGCCAACCCAGAACTAGTTGTGCGAAGAGACATTTTGCGTGTCTTCGTGTTTGCTCTATTATCGGAGGTACAAGCAAGCATTGCGTCGTGGCCGTAGCCGGGGTATCGAAGAAAATAAGCACCATCTCCATCCGTACCGCGCATTATACCCTCCACCCTTATCTTACAAGCTCCCATCCACCTTGACCTGTATCAAAACCTCATTCCTATCCATCACACATGCGAGATCGACTATCGAGTGTTGGCGTTATAAGAGTCGTGTGGCTGAAAGATGATTTGCTGGTTCGATGACGGGTCGGATGGGAGGTATCAGACGTGACTCGTCGTACCTCTACGACGTCCGCCGCCACGACCGCAGGTCAAGCAGGAGACGATGATGCCGAAGAAGTTGGCGATAGCGTTGATGATGGCCTTGAGGATACTTGCGATTCCGTTGACTACGGCCATGATGCAAGCACCGATAGTTTGGAAGAGAGACTTGATCTGTTGTTTGCGTCAGCAGGCGCGCAAGATTGAGGATTTCGAATGAACTTCGACTTACGCAAGATACGACGGCACCCATTTTAAAGCTGTTGCGCAACACGACTTGGGTCCGACTTGAGTTCTGTTTGGAATTGTAATGGTCGAAGAAGGAATTCAAGATGTTTAGAGTTGAAAGGCTTGATGGTGTTTAGTGTTTGGTGTTTGTGTTGATGTTTTGGTGAGGAAGGGGTGAAGATGTCGGGCGGAAGTGAAGGGACTTCAAATATATACATGCTTTCATTTTTTTTTTCCCGCGCCCTGCTATTTCCACGACGGGGCGCGTCATAGGTTCAAACAGGTTCCAACAAACAGTAACATAACGTCCATACCAGACAAGGATCAGCTGCAAGGACTGTATCCAGTGACGTCGTATTGACTTCTTTTCCTTGTCAGCCTACCGTACTTGGTACTTGTCTCCATACGTACGGAATAAGTATATCATACTACTATTGGTACTGTATTACATATTAAATCCGATGGTCTGGAATGGAAGCTCATGTGCTCGGGGCATAATCTGGTCCGGTTAAACTGCAGTGAAAAGATTAAAATCAAGGAAGTCCAAGTTAAGGATCAAAAAATCCGGGGCAGGAAGTGATCACCGACGTGCGTTTGCGTTGCGCCACAGTGGCTTAAAGTCAGTGACACCAAGAATTCGATGGATCGCTCACTTGACTCAAGTAGTCGCAGATTAGAGTATCTATTGACTGCATCTTGTGGCGGGTGAAGTCTCGGGTGAGATGTTACTTCCAGAGAAGCACGGTGAAGAATGACGTAGGCGGATCGAAGGTGAAGCAGCGGGTGACCTTCTTGGTACCGATACCGATACCGGTACTTCACGTCGGGTCTACGCCTCGGGTCTTCGCCTCGGGTCCTCACCTCTCAGCCAGGCAGGAGTTCCGTCTTCTTGTCTTTCCCCAGCTGCACTGCTACCCACCGGACCCATATCTACTGTATATCAAGTCAGTCCATCCATCATCATCAGCCTTAACCTCCAAAGCCAAAATACTTCGTACACACCACAATAACGTGAGAACAAGTCCCAAATCCATCTCGTCAACCTTGTTCCACGCCTAAAAGAACAAGCACTTTGGACAAGCCGTGCGCCGTGGAGACGGGACGGACAACCGCGAGAAATGGCCGATTGGAAAGAAATGATGACTAAGTATCAAAATGCTCGCTTCCGTCCTACGACGTTGGATTCTCGCTTCTCTACGTACCAGTACCGGTACCTACTACTACTTATTCTGCTGGCCTCACCGCGCGCAGCTTGCCTTGCAGTCTCATTTAAACCAGCCAATACGGTACCCGATACGCCTGATAAGTACGCATAGTGCCATGGCTCTCCCTCCCGCTCAATCATGAGATCGGTTCAGGATCTCAATCTCATATCGGTCACGTGGTTGTCTGTGAGAAGTATAGGCATCCAGTGTCGTGGACTCGATGACACTTTTCCCTTCTGTCCCAGCGACCTCCATCATTTTGAGACCCAGCTTAAGGATGGCTCTCTGAATTTCTCGAGGCTTCACGAGCCCCAGCACCGTCAATTTGCGTATCGATTTCAGTTTTGATAGCGAGTGCGATGCGGGCCGGAGGCGGATTTTGTTTTCTATCGAAGGGTCTTCCCGCCTTACCGAAGGCAGGTAAACAGGTCGGACTTCATCGTGGTGACTGGTGTAATTCAAACGCAGGGTTTGAATCTTCGAAGCTCTCTTGAATATGGACTGCAAAATGTGTGCATCGGAAAATTTAAAAGTCACCGCCAGATTCCGTAAGTTGCTGATGTGGATCCCGATAATATCCAGGAAACGTTTACAGACTAGAGGGCTACAAAAGCCAAATTCCGCGCACCCGTAGTAACGGCTTCGAGTCTCTCTGTAGAAGAACCGATCCGTAGCAGACAAGCCTTGTCCACAGACCCGTTCCAAGTCAGAGGAGACGTTGATATCGTCCCGAGTGAACACATAGTTGTATATGAGAAGCCGGATCTCAAGAGGAAGGGTCGACAGTTCTAATTCTGAAGACGCGTGTATAGGGCAACGGCTGCCAGAATCCCCGCTGCCGATAGACATATTGTCGAAGCCCATAGCAAGGGTTTCAAGAGGCTCAATTCCGAGGGGAGAACGTGGAAGGCGGTGCACACATCTCGGTTGTCTCGGGGACCAGAGAGCACGACTCTGCCATTCAATCCTCGGCTGTTGTTTATTTCGCCTATCAGTACGTTTAGGAGGTTTGGGCCGGAAAGCAACTTGGAACATGGTGACGACTGCCAATTCATCAATAAGCGGACGGATGAATGTAACGAATGAATCAAAATGAAAAGAGAAATAAAAATGCATTTGATGATTTTTCAGAGTGGAAGGTAGGGCGGGCTGTGATACTAGCGATTCACGCATGGACATGCACATACCTTTGTGCATGTCATTGATTCGTCCAGTAGCGCCACACCAATGCAAGGCTACCAAATCCAGACATAAAACTCGCGGAGTAGAGGCCCTCACCTCCACCTCCATCTCCCCCAACAATTGATTCCAACCGCGAAACGGAGAAGCGAAACAAAACAACACATTTCAGATGCCCAACATGGATCTTACGCCCATTAAAGTCCCCGGCAAACGGAAGAGGGATTGCAGTCAATCCGCTCTCGCAGCCAGAAAGGCGCTGGTAATATATATGCCCCACGCCCAAGTCTCGAAGTCACCACCAAGTCTTCAGTGCTAACAGATTATTTCACAGAATAGGAAACCAGGGCGGCCGCTCAAAATTGCAGAAAATGTCGTCTCTGACAATCCAGTTGAAGCCATGAAGCCTGTCCAAGTGTCAAAACAGAGGACTTTGAAAAAAATCAAGTCGAAACGGAAAATGTCACCTTTGGAAAAACTGCCGACGGAACTGCTCGAGCGGGTCTTCCGCTTCTGTCTGAATCTGGAATTACCCAGATCCAGTCCTATTATCGGTGCAAAGCTAAGCAGTAGCACGATTCTCAACTGGACTGTACATGCGTCTTTCGGACCGTGTTGGGAAAAGTGGTATGGGAGGGAGAAAGTGGATGGGAGGCTGGAGTTTGGTGATGAGGAGGGGAAGGAAGATCACTCCGAGTTACAGAGTGCGGTATTGAGATGTCGTTGGGCGACCCTACCCGTCCTGTTGAAAGCACAAGATCTTTGGATAGAGAAATGTGCAAAGGACAGGGTTTTCATACCCCTCTGTACGTTCTTCCATCCCACCTCATGACACCCTCCCGGGAGATCCATACCAACAGCCGAGCCAGATTTCCTTCAAGACCTAAATCCGGTATCAGAAGAAGAAAAGGAAGGCCAAAATGATCAAGAACGTTCTGGAAATACACCACCACCAACGCCAGTGCCCCCAACCACTCAAGAAGAGTACCTGAACATCGACTACGCCGCCTTCGAGAATACCATCTTCTCTTCCACCGACGACAACTGGCCCTCCACATCCTGGACCACCCACCCATACCTCTCCCCCTCCGTTGAAATCCCACACACGCTCCTTCTTGGCCCCTTCACGCCCCCCTCCCTAAAAAACCTCTTCTACCTGATAAAATCTGGCGCCAAACTCTCCTGGCACTCCTCCACCTCAGGCGAAGTCGCGCTCGAAGGGCTCCGCTCCGCCATCCGCGCTGGCAGCGCTCCAGCAATCCACTTGCTGCTCTGGAGCGGACTGCTTGAGAATCTGGACGTGGAGATGCTGTGTTGGGCGTTCAGGAACGCAGGCGGTGAAGGCGTGGGAGGGAAGTTAAGGACGGTTAATCAGCTTTTGAGGCTAGGTTTTGAGGATATGGGGATGAGGGATGAGGGACGCGTGGAGAGGGAGTTGGCGGATCTGAGAGATGAGGCAAAATTGGAAGGGGATGAGGAGAAAGTGGAATTCGTGAGGCGGTTATTAGGCACGAGGACTTTGACGGGGAGGATTCATATCGGCATATGATCGGGTTAACTGCAGCTGTTGGGTTTCATCTCGGTGGTCTAGATTATGAAGAGAGAGTGACTCGAAGCAGGTAGATTCTCCAGGACATCATGCACTTGAAGTATCTGTTGTGGGACATTCCAGCAGCCGCAAGACCCCCCCCCCTCCCCCCCCTCCTCTCTCTCCCCCCCACTCACCACTCTGAAAATATCCCAGGGGCAAAAGTGCACCAATCTCTTTTCCCCCAAACTCAAATAAAAGCGAAAGACCCCCTCTCCCTCCCCCCTCACTCAATCCCGGTATATCTAGCTACCTCTGTAATCCTCGCTTCCTACCTACCCTATAAAACAACCACCAAGGGTTCACCCAACATATAGAATTGGGAAAGACGGCTATGAACGAGACGAGACAGAAAAATGGGATGGAAAAGATGCATCTATATAGGAAACAACAGGAAATCTGGACTTCTGAACCTACGTTGGGTGTGGGATGGTCGGTGGTCGAGGGTAGAGAGGAGATTTGAAGAGGGGGATGAGAAGAGGGAGGGAAAGGGAAAGGGAAAGGGAAAGAAAGGGGAAAAGAGAGAAAAGATACGACTGTGCAGGATAGATACAGTTTGGCAATTGAATTTTTTATTAGCTTAAAAAAAAGAAGAGAGAGAGAGAGAGAGAGGGAAAGAGAGAAAGAAAAGGTTGACGATGCGCCTTTCGGGATTCTCACTTGTTGCAAGTGCTTTCTGGGACGTTGGGGAGAGTGCGACGTGCATTAAAAGAAAGAAAGAACGAAAAGAAAAGAAAAGAAAAAAACACCACTACCCAATATAGAAGGCGAAAAAACCAAAAGTCACCTGTGAATATCGCTTGTATACAGACACTGCTCGCCTGTTGCATACACTAAATCATGTGCTCTACATCCAGCTCCTTAGACATCTACACTTTATATTCCCTACCCATCAATCACCTCCATCAATCATCATCCAGCACACTCTTATTGAAGAACCTCCAAATCTGCCTCCCAGCCTCCTTCCCCACAGCCGGCTCCAGCTCCTCCACAGTCGCATTAGCCACTTCCCTCAAGCTCTCCATCTCCACCACAAGATTCTTGAGGTTCTTGCCCGTCACACCCGGCACCGTGCGCAACATATCTTGCGGCTCGCGGTTGAAGCTCTGATCTTCTGCCTTCTGGCCGCCTTCAAGCCCGATGCGGACAGCTGCAATGGGGTCGGGTTCTGGTTCTTGGGTTTTGAGCGACTCGAAGATCTCGGCCGTTTGATATGGAGAGGAGGACCAGATGATGCGGAGGCGGGGGAAGGCTAGGGTGAGGAGGACGAGTTTGGATTGCAGGTCTGAAGTTGCGTTGGTGGCCGACACGGAGTTTAAGGACCCCGATAGATCCGCAAAGGGCTCGAGAGTGAAGGATTTATTCTGGTCGAATTCGATGAGCAGCATAGGGGATTTGTAGTGAAGTTGCATGGTCTCGGCTTGTGTATACAGACGGCCGTCCTTGAAGGAGGAAATCAAGTCCTTGATGGACTTGCGCTCCACACAGATGCTGGGCGAGAGGATGTAGTCGCCGACTGTAAGCATACAAGGCACTACGACCATGGATCGACCGTGCAGCAGAGAGGGTAGCGAGGAGCGAAACTCGCGGACGTCGACAACAACGCGAGGGGGTTGAGCGGTGGCTGCTAAGCGGCCACCACCTGCTATGCGGGTGTTTATGGTGCGGAGGAAGGCTTCTTGCGGGTCTTCGACGCCATGGGCGTCGGTAGTCATGACGATGGACATGTTGGATTTCTCTTTGATGAGTTTGGTGAAGGCATCCTTTTCTCGGCGGACGGAGGAGAGATAGCGCTGCTCTTCTACAGAGCCACCGTAATACAGGAAGTAGACTCGTACATTTCGGTCGTTGTGCGAGGAGCGGTAGACCTCGACTCTGCGTACGAATGATGTATCTGGCTCGTACATAATTATGTAGCGAGGCTTAACCTCTTCGAGCACATGCTCATCCATGTCTCCATCATATGCATGTATAACAACGAGATCCTTGGTATCGTATAATTGGTAATAGTCTTCCATATCGTCCAAGGGGTCTGCTACGATATCCTCCTTTTGCGCAGCCTCCATCTCTGTGGGTTGGATTTCAGACATTAACGTAGCAACTTCTAGAGGCTTGTCCTCTGCTGCTTGGATGCTTCCATTTGCTGCCCTCGATGGGGCCGAACCAGTATTACCTCCTCCTCTCACTCGGCGCCTCTTATTAGAAGGAGCCTTCCCTCGGAAACTAGTATTTGCACCCTTTTGATTGGCAGTGCCATCCAAAACCTTTTGGTTCTCGGTGAATAGAGCCGCGCTGATCTTTGCGAATTCATTCTTCCATTTCAAGTAAGCCCTGAGCTTTCTTCTCATCATGAAAGCAGCAGAGGGCTCATGCTCTTCATCGTCCTCGTCGTCCTGGCCGACTGTGTCTGGTCGGACATGCATATTTTGCAGGTATTCCTTGAGTTGCCGGCACTGTGCTGTATCACTACACATAATCAAGATCGTCCCGTTTGAGTCGTCCCGGACAACGGGGTTAAAGTACAGGTCTCGGTCAATCTCTTCTAAGACTTCCGCCAACACAGCCCACTTGGGTTGTTCTTCGAGAACAGTTCGTAACGTTTCGAGGTTCTCTGTCCCGGATGCTTTGCCAGTATAGACTCTTCGCTTGGCAGTGTCGAATATTGTATGAGCAGCATCAAGAAACAGCCATGGTGACTGGTTCTGTCTTGTGGACCCAGGCGGTGGAGAATGAGCAGCTAAAATTGTGTCCAGGTGCCGGTTGAAAGAGACAGAATCGTATGTCAGTAGAGTATGCAGCATGCCTCGTAGAACAGTCAAATCATTGACAATCTGTTTGGTCTTCCAGCTTACTCGATGCCAAACTGGATCTAGCTGTCTCCTGACAACCATGTCGAACTGCTTGTGAAGAGCACTATCGAGGTTCCAGTCTTCCATCTCGAGTCCCGAGTTGCTCTTTTTGAGTTCTCCAATACTGACCTCGACACATTCCATGATGGCGGTTTGAATGTCACACATTGACTCGGACATTGGTACCTCTAACTCAATGACTTCTGCCTTTTTCTTGCCTTCTAGTGCCTGGGCCACCACCACTTGAAATCGCGGCCACAAAGAGGCGTTCCTTAAGAACAGGTTCCGCATCATTGAAGATAAGGGAGCAAATCCGGTAGTAAAAGGCTCGGGGCTATCCGAAAAGGCTTTAAGGAAGCCAACCTTGTTCTTTTGCCTGTAGATCCTGAGGATGAATGCCTCCAAAGATGTGGCGACAATTCTCTCGGCGTGGAGCACCACCACTCCAGTAATCGTTTCGGGATTCAATAGGCTTGTCAAGAGGTCGACCACCAGGATCCGTGAAGTGACACTGTAGATTCCCCCTTGGCTGTACATTTTCTCTCGCGTGCCGACGCTCATATTTTCGGTATTCACCACGCTGAGGCCTCTAGCTCTAGGAGACATACTGATGGCAGCATGCTCCGCCAGAGCTTCCCCAATCCACCCATTCTCTCTTTCGTCTGCTCCAACGAGGATTATGAGGTTGTTCCCAGCCGCATCGTAGGAATGGAGGAGGTTCGTTATAAGGCGCAAGAGGCCAAGACCGCGGGCAATAATGACGAGCTCATCCTTTTGACGAAGTTCTTGGAAGATCTCCTGCTGGTATTTCTGCGAACGTTAGCAAGGTCTTCAAGGCTGGCGGGGAGCTCGTACTAGAGGCAGTGAAAGCTTCACTGGCTGTTGATCGCCATTCGCGGAAGACATCTGCAGAGGTCATGACCGGCGCGACGGTACCGCCAAATTACGAGTAGATCTTGATAATACAGTGATCATGAGTTGTCCGAGGTTCACTAATGCTGTATCGCATCGCGGTGTTGAGCAACGGGAGACGGGGGACGCGTCCGTTAGGCTGAAAGGCAAAGCGAGTGGCATAGCGGCAATGCGATCAGTGAGTGGTATGCGGTCGACGTCATGAGGGGCAACAGCAAACCGGATTCACTAGTTTCGAGGTGAGGTATCTTTCCCTCTTATAGATAGGAAGGGTTGCGTTTGTTTATGTACACAGTTCAATTGGACTCTCAAACAAAATCTCCTAACAAAACACCAGACTCAAAGCCATCTCTACCCATCATGCCTGCTGGACCCGACGAGACCGACAACCACCCGGTTGGTGCTGTTACTGGTGAGCTATTCAGCCTGTACATTTACTTTGCTTACACTGATCTCTGAATCAGAGCACGTAGCCAAAACGGCGAGCAGTAAGACCGAGAGCAACGCCAGCACCCATCCTCTCCATCAACAGGAGCCTCCTAAGGGGGATAAAGTCGAATTCATCTACAGCTCAGGCAAGCCAGGTCCAGCTGAATCCGACAAGCTTGCAGGTATTCAGCAAGAAGGTACTAAGGAAGAGCGGGAGGCTCGGACCAAGGAGTTGAACAAGTAATGATTTCCCTGGTATGTTTTGAATGTCCGGATCCTCGTTCGTTCGTTCTTGAATATGGGACTGATTCAAAATAGAGCATCCAGAATGTGAAATGGGCAGGCTGGTAAGGGAGGGCAGGACTAGCATGGACTTTGGCCTTGAATGGATCTCGCATGGATTTGGCTAGAGGGAACACGTAATGCTATAGAAATCGTGGAAATGTACCTTCTATGCCATTGTTACCTTTCACCCATGTCCGTTGATATCAAGTTGGTGAAATGTGGGGCACAGTAGATGTACCGTACTCCACGCTGTTGGTGATATGCTTTTCCCAGGCGAGTAAAGACTAGCGATCTGATATGACTTCAAAAGATTTCAATACCAGGAATCCCATCATGGTAATTACTCGAGGCTTGTGCATTCCTTGGCATCCTACATGGAGCCAACATGTAGTCTGCGAGAGAACATACTCCGTGTGGAGGAGAGCACTCTCCGAGCTGATCAGCTTTCAACCATCGGTGGCTCCTTTATGGGATACCACTTTCTCACACTACGAGAATGCATGTCACTGTTACTGGATTACCTTTCCCCGGCTACTAATCATAGCCCCTACCGTCGGCATTGCCAATGACTTCTCGAATCAAGCATCGACCCCACAAGCAATGGGTAGCCGTTCCGTTAGGCCGCCAAATCGTCGCGCTAAATGGCGGCTGCTGTCCGCCAAGTGATTACTAAGCCCGCAATATCCGCCTTCCACTACATTACTACATAGGCAGACTTGAACCAAACCTATGAGTTACAGAAGGCACTTCCGCCCCTCTCTACAACATACTCGAGTACTCTATCACCAAAGCTTGAGGGCGGGTTCTTGAATACTTTCCGGAGGTGACTACCTTGGAAACGAAGATGCCTTCTATCCTCTCCGACAACGACAAAGAGACAGTGAAGAGACACATCCCGAAGAATCTGAACAAGATCCAGGCAGTGGCAGTAACGCGTTTGTACATCGCATATCCCGACCCAAGAACATGGACATATACAGGACTGCAAGGTGCGGCGGCCCTCGTCAACGACCTTGTGGGTAGTACATTTTGGTTGAAGCTCGTTGATGTGTCGGTTCGTAAGCCCTTGATCAAGCGGCATAATGGCCACGGATTAAGTAGTACTAACATCTGCACAGCCCGCGGGTCGAGGGGTAATATGGGATCAAGAGATTTACGATACTTGGTCTTATAACCAGGACCGGACCTTCTTCCATACCTTCGAGACGGAGGACTGCTTGGCCGGACTGTCCTTCGCGGATGAGAAGGAGGCCAAGCAGTTCCTCAAGAAGATGAACGACCGGGAAAAGAATGCCAGCAAGATGACAAAGTCAAACCCATTCGGAGGCGGAGTACAGCAACCTACGAGGCATGGACTATTGGGAGGTTTCTTTGGTGGAAATCGGCACTCATCTGCGCCTGCGATACAACCCACACCTCCAGACTCGCCAAGCTACACACTTCCACCAGCACAGAGCCATCGAATGTCTGGTGGTAGCTTCACTGGTGGAAAGTCTCAGTTCGCTGCATTGGATGCTATAGATCACAACTGGAGGGAGACATGGGGCGACGATCTGAAGCAAATGGGAATTACGGATGACCTGATTCGGGACAACCAGGACTTCATTGCCGACTACATTCGGCAACAACAAGCAAACCAGGCCGCTTCTGGAATTGAGAACCAGAGGAACAGAGCTCCACCACCACCGCCGCCTCCAACAGGTCCCTCTCGCACTCATTCTGAGAGTCCTCAAAGTGTAGTATTAGGTCGTGGGAGGGGGGCCCCACCAGCACCTCCTCCAGCAAGAAGATCTGCCACGAAAGTTGAATCTGCAAGGGAACCAACTCCTCCAAGAGAACAATCTCCACCCAGAGGCCCACCACCGCCTAGATTTGCAGCACCTCCCCCATTTCCAGATGCTGGGAAATTTGCATACTCAAACAACAAGCCGGCACGACCACATGCTGGAAGTTTGTCCAACCCAGGGCCCCCTCCACCACCCAGACCTCCGAAGAACCCAGTGGAAGAAGCATACGAACCCGGAGAGTCAGGCTCGAGATTTGGTGTACCTCCCCCTTTCATGGGGGAAAGAATTACGGCAGAAAGAAAACAAACGCCACTTCCTACACCGAGCCGAGGAGCTGTCCCTCCGCCCCCCCCTCAAAGAGAATCTACAGGGCATGCTCATGCTGTTCCTCCAGCGAATGGACTCCCTCCGCCTCTTTTGCCTCCCAAAACGGCTTCTGGTCCCCCGATACCCCCACCATCAGCAAGACCTGTGCCTCCACCCCCCTCGAGAACCAGCGGCCCACCCCCTTTGCCGCAATCAAGCGCCCCTGCTCCACCGCCCTTACCATCCTCAACTGCACCACCGCTGCCTCCTTTGCCACAGTCAAACGCCCCTCCACCTCCTCCATTACCTCAATCCAATGCGCCTCCACCTCCCCCGCTACCTCAATCCAATGCGCC